CCCACAGAGGTCCCTTCCAACCCCTACCATGCTGTGATTCTGTGACTCAACATTGAACAATGAAGCCTGAAATACTAAAATAATTAATGACTACCATTTTAAGAACAGCCTTTGATTAAGTGCAACATCCAACAGATACTTTCAGTTTTCTAAAGCACAGGCATTTAAACACAGTAGGTGCAACATACCATCTCAACTTAACACAATGGACAGCTACAGACTCCACACAAAAATGCTGTTCCATGTCTATTAAACAGTCAATATTTGTAAAATATGTGTGTGTGCGCGCACGCACATATGCGTGTTTGTGGTGAGTTTCTGAAGTTCACTCTCCCACTAAAATCATTTGTTCACTGCTTCTATTAAGTCTGAGCTACAGAACAACCTGCCCACTTGGGTCCAGCTTAAGGACGACAGATGACTGCCGCTTCGCTGGAGTTACCTCCCACTCACCCCAGCAGTGAAGCAGGTTCTACTTCAGGGCACAGCTGTATGGGGGAGCCTTTTTCACTGTCACCTCTACTCGTGCTGACGGACAGGGCCACTCACAGTGTGTCCAGCTACCCGCTGGGAGAGCGGTGCTCGGACAGCTCAGCAGTGCCTGCAGAAGCAAACTGAAGTGTTTTACTGTTCCTGGGCTACCTTATTTGATCAAGGTTCAAGGGCTGGTCTTGGTGTAGTTGCACAGGACTGCCAAAGGCATCCCAAGAACTTGGGTGGACTTGCTTCACAGTAATTCACACACAAATACTCTACAGCCTTTCTAACAGTCAGCTGTAAGTAGTTTCTTTCATTTACAAAAAAAAAAAAGTATCTAGGGAAGCATTCTGGAGAGGATAGCACTAAAGAATAACAAAAGCCAATATCCTTATACGAAAGGATGCTAGGTAAATAGAGGGAGTGGTTGAAAGGCTTCTACCTCCGCATACTTACAAAGAGGAGACAGAAGACCCTAAGACCACAAGACAAGAATACATTCACATGTTCTAGTTGCCTTTTTATTAAGCAGGGGAGAGCACCTGTTCTCACACTAAGACCAATCTCAAAAAACCCCAAACTATTTGTAGTCTGAGAAGTCAAACTTCCCAAAGAATCCTTATTCTTCAGATAATAAGCATGTGCAATTGTACTACTACATTGCTGCTTCCGTTAATCTAACCATAATGAATTACTGAGTATACTACATGTTACAGGTAAAATACTTTTTGCTGAGAAGACATCACAGCAATATTCTGCAGAACTGGGCTAAAATGTGGCTCAAGTGAAAGAGGCAAAAGTCGTCTCACCAAATATATGAAGCTGGATTTTCTGTTCTGGAATATTTGCCAGATAGAATTGGGAGCGTTTACACCACTCACAGACCACAGAAACCACACTACTTACAAGACATTTTGGACAAATTGGTGACAGTCAGGCAAAGAAATAAAAACTTCAGTGTCAAAAAGCTTTAAAGTCTTAACAGTACAGGAATCACATCACAGGTGAGAGCAGACCTTTGCAGCTCTAAGACGCATAACCTTAATAGTAGCAGCATCAAAAACAGTAAAGAACCTTCACATATTAGAGGAATTCATAAGAATGATGTTTTCGGACTCCAGTGTATCATACAAAGAAATTTCTTTTAAGATTGTATTTTAAACAATACGCTACACAAAACAACATGGTTACAAAACACACCTTTTGTTTTTTTTCCTCTCAAAACATACATATATGCTTTGTAGATATCACTGTCATCACATGTCTATATTCCTTGCCATGGCTTATCATTTTCGAGATAACTGAAGTTTACCTGTCAGGTTTTTTTGTTTTGTGCAAGGCCAGTTAACTATACTAGCACAACTGTACTTCCACCCTCTGGCCAGCTACTAAATGTAGGGAATAATTTGTATAAACACTTCAAACACATCAAAACCCTTCCACAGCTGCTCTCCTTGTTTCCTCAAAACTCTGACACAGATGTCACACGTGGTTATCTGCTGGCAGTAGATATCCACCTCTGCCCCCTCGACGGCCCATCTGTCGGAGAGCAGGTTGCTGGACATCCCTCGTGCGCTGCCTGTATGCACGGGAGCCGAGCTCTGGAGCGCAGCGCGCACTCGGTTCTTGGCAAAACAAAGCCCCTCAGTCCCAGGAGAGTACAGACTGTGACAAGCGAGTGCACACAGCTGTGCTGGTCATGGACCCTGAGCAGTATCTCTGGTTTCTAAGTGGTCCCCTAATGAAAGGCAGCAACTAAATATTGGCTGGAAAAGGCTGGGCACTGGATCTGGCTAAAAAGAACAAATTTGTGCTTACTAGTGTCTACTTATTTCCCCAAGTATAAGTTCACCTTCTCACAGAGGCAAAACACCACAACACTGGCTCAAAAAATACTGCAAGGACAGGCTGGTCTTTTAAAAGTGAAAGCTTTTCAGCTTTATATGTGCAGGGGTATTTAAAGAAATACTTTGTAATAGTTTTAAAGTCATTTTCATTAAGATTTTTTTACTAAAACAGATTTGAGACTGATTTCTGTCCCACTAATATGACCATACACTTTTCAGTATCTTTTTTCATAGTTTTGTCTTTCCTTGCAGTAATATTCTATCATTTTGAGTCACCAAGCCTGTCCAGCAATACGGCTGCACAAGGAAAAAAAAGATAAAACCAAAAAAACAACCAAAGAAACGGAAAAACCTCAACACACACACAAAAACACTCATCAGGCAGTATCCTAGTTAAAAAACACTGCCCTTGAATATTATGCCAGACCTGTGCATCTCCATGTTCAGACAGCACACAAGACTTCCATCCACTCTCTCCTATTCAGTAAAGGGTGATGTTACTGCTGTGACGACTTACAAACAGCCATTCTGCAAATGCAAATGGTTTTACCAATTGCTTCAATAAAATTTTCACTTGGAATTTACATTATGTAAGATGAAATGTGCAAATACTTCTCTGTTAATTATAGAGCCTTGTGCTGGATCACAGGAGGAATTCAAAAGCTATTTACCACTTAATATGTATCAAAAATTCTGAAGAAAACTTCTGCCCTCCACTACCAGCAAGGCTGCTTTGAGCAACAGCAAATATTTTTGGATCAGCCCTTTATTCCGACCTACACACATGAAGACACCACAGTTGCGGGCCTCCCACCCACAATATGAAGTAGTTCTGTCTCAACTGAATTGTCATCATTATCCCCCTCTGCATCATTTGCCCCTTACAGTCAGCACACCAAAGGTAAAATTCTCCTTCAAGTAAAGAACCATAGAATCATTGAGGTTGGAGTAGACTTTCAAGATCACTGAGTCCAGACATCAACCTAACACTGTCAATTCCACCCCTAAACCATGTCCCTAAGGTCCGCATCTATAAGGCTTTGAAATACCTCCAGGGATGCTGCACACTGCTGGCTCATGTTCAGCCAGCTGTCAACCAACACCCCCAGGTACCTTTCTGCTTAGCAGCTTTCCAGCCACTCCTCCCCAAGCCTGTAGCATTGCATGGGGTTGTTGTGAAACAAGTG